ATAAATAGATTACCGTACGTGATTGGTACCAAAATATATGTCTATTTGAGGCTTTCTTAGGCTTCCCATATAGGTAGCAAGTAGTAGGTACTTTTCCTCTAGAGGACACAAGAAGAAATAGTCCTAAATTGTTGAAGAAGTGTCTAGGTCAGAAGAGAGCAAGAACTTCTTGGCCAGCATTGTCATGTGTCTCTCTTAAAGAAAGTACCTGCTCTGAAGATATTAAAAATTAGTTTAGATGGAATCCACTTGAAATAATTTTGTGAATAGCTGGGCATATACTTATATGGGTTTCATCTGTTTCAAATATAAATGTCTTCTTGATGTGTATGTAAATGTTGACTAAATTAATCAGTAAATTAAAAATAGCTTTCAAATGCAGGTGTCAAAGTTTGAAAATGATGACTGAAATCTGGGTCTCTGCTGTACTGTGCAAAGCATATTCTTTTAGTTATTGTTTACTAGATGGAACCCAGTGAAATTGATCATAAGAAATAAACAATAAGAAATTTAAACCTAAAACGGTAACTGGACCATAGTTAATTAAATTATCAATTGATTGTCTGGTTCTCCAGTTGTTATAACGTAAAAATATCCATAATCAACTAAAACCCATTGCCAACAAATTGATTTCAACTCACAGTAACCCTGTAGGACAAAGTAGAACTGCCCAATAGGGTTTCCAAGGAGCAGCTGGTAGATTCAAACTGCTAGCCTTTAGGTTAACAGCCATAGCTCTTAACCCCTACATCACCAGGGCTCCAAAAATATCCATAAAGTGGGGAAAAATTTTTAGTAATGCCATCACCAATGTGTTTAGTGTAGTTCTATTATTAATGTAAATACCACTTTGCTGCAGGTCCTTTGCTGAAAGTGTTTTTAGGTAAGTATTTCATTGAATAATTATTTCTGTTATCTATTGCTGTGTAACAAACCCCAAGACTCCACAACTCAGAAGCTGAAAACAACAACTACAACCATTTTATTATCTCTCACAGATCTGTGAATTGACTGGACTCAGCTAGGCAGTTCTTGTGGTTCTTGTGGTCTTGCTTGGGACTCCTTTCACAGGATTGCAGTTAGATGGCCTCTGGCACTGGAGTCATCTGGAAGCTAGATGGGTTGTTGGGGGTGCTGACCCTGTCTCCTTCTCCATGTAGTTTCAGGGCTTCTCCTCTCCACGTGGCCTGTTCACATGGTCTCTCCAGTAGTCAGACTTCTCACGTAGTGGCTCAGGTCTCCCAAAAGCAAGCATTTCAAGAAAGAGGAAGCACAGGCCACCAGTTTTTAAAGGTGAGGCCTGGATCTGGCATGGTGTAACTTCCACCACATTCTATTGGTTGATGCAAGTTACAGGCCAGCTCAGTTTCGATGTGGGAGGGTACTGTATAAGGGCATGATACTTGGAAGGCTTGGTTTCTTGGAGACCATTTTTAGAGATGAACTACCATAGTAATTGTGCGGTAAAGATCGGCATGAATCCAAACCCCACAATGCAGAGATCGATTCAGTCCTCAAATTCCCATTTCCTTGTTGACAGCCACCCCTGCAATATTCTCTCTCTGACCTTAGCCACCTGGAGCTAGGTCAGCACTCACAAATTAAAAGGTCACTTTCCTTTGGCACGCAAAATAAAGGATGTTATCCCTGAGTAGAAATCAAAAAACCTTGCTATTGAGTCAATTTTGACTCATAGTGACTCTATAGGACAGAGTAGAACTGCCCCACAGGGTTTCCAAGGAATAGCTGGTGGATTTAAACTGCCGACCTTTTGGTTAGCAGCCAAGCTCTTAACCACTGTGCCACCAGGGCTCTTTCCCTGAGTACAGTGCTCCATTAGAACAACTATGAGACCAAAAGATCAACAGTTAGTCTAAAGCAAAAATGAGCAGATAAGGGGGCAGGGAAGCTAAAGTAGTGGAAGCGGCACAACCAGAATGCAATTAAAGAGGATATTGACACATTGTGAAAAATGTAACTAATGTCACTAAACAATTTGTGTAAAAATTGTCAAATAGGAACCTAATTTGCTGTGTAAACTTTTACCGGAAACACAATAAAATATCTTTAAAAAAAAAAAGGACACCATCCTTAGGACTACCAAATAGGCAGATGCCAGCCACAAATTTGAGGACCCCATACAACACCCCAGCCTTTGGATCTGCTGACCACAAATTTACGGCTGATTTCCCACTACACCTTCAGGACGCCACCCACAAGCTTGGGAGTCCACACAACACCCTTATCTTCTTACCTACTGGCTCCTACTGCTCCTTTGGGCTTGATAATTCACTGGAACAGCTCACAGAATTCACAGTGAGTAGGCTATACTTAGAACCACAAATTTATTCTAGCCAAAAAAGATATAAATGAAGGGATGTGTAGGGCGAGGTCTGAGAGTGTTCCCAAAGTGAGGATTCCCTTTCCCAAGCGTTGCACTACTCTGCCAAGAGCAGGTGTTCTCACCAACCAGGAAGCTCTCTAAGCCTCTGTGTTCAGGACCTTTATCAGCCAGTCCTGTATGATAGACTAAATCATGCCTCCTGAGGCTAGTTGATATTTGCCTCCCAGGTGAGTCTTTTCTGATCTGGCCAGCCCCATTTCCCAGCACAAATTCTCAAGTGTCACCCGGACGTCCCAGACTATGGCATCCCAGTTACTCCAGTGGTTATTTCTCCAGAGCCAAGGACAAAGGACACCTTACTTGGGATATAACTAGGTCCCTTACCCCACAGTAATATACCTTAAAATACTTTATTTTAGGCCTTAAGTATTATGTATGTGCTAGTGAGGTTAAGGAGCCCTGATGGTGCAGTGGTTAAGAGCTTGTCTACTAACCAAAATGTTGGCAGTTTGAATCCACCAGCCGCTCCTTGGAAACCCTGTGGGGCACTATGAGTCAGAATTGACTTGACGGCAATGAGTCGTGAGTTTAAGCTTCAATTTTAGCGGCAGTCAGTTGCACTAACAAAGAATCTGTATGTGAAGTGAGGTCAGCCTGCCGTATGTAAGAAGGACTATACTAGAGGGGCTGCCACTATAAGCACTTAATCTATTTCAAATCTTGATCAAAACTAGGCCAGAGAGGTACAGTCATGAGCAGCAGTTAGAGTCACATGCGTAATGTGAATTCAGGGAGAGGAGGACTAAGAGCTAGAAGCTAGTCAGATCTCTGAAGTGAGGAAGATATCCATCATCACTCATTTCATGTATGACAGTTTTGACTGTGCCTACCAGGCAACCATTAGAATTGACTTCCTATGTAGGATCATGTACTTGGAGGATTGAACAGTTCAGCTACAGCTATAGAACATAGCTGGCCAGGAACATTTTTGAAGCCTAATTCCTAGCTACATTTGTGATTCAACTATCGCAGTGGTTATCTATGACATCACAAACATTAGTTCTTTCAAGAAGACAGATAAATGGATAGAAGATGTACAAGTAGAAAGAGGTGATGATGTCATCATCATGTTGGTGGGTAAGAAGAATGATCTGAACAAAAGACCAGTCTCTGCGGAAGAGTGGGAAGAAAAACCCAGAGACCCAAACATAATGTTTATTGAGACCAGTGCCCAAACCAATTACAAAGTGAAAAATCTATTCCAGTGTGTGGCTACTGCCTTTCCTTTCAGAAGTAATTCACCTCCCCCGAAGGAAGACGAGAGCCTTGGGTGGAACCTTTTTGCAGCACTAGGGAATTCCATCTTTCCTTCTCTGACTGCTGAAAGATAGCTATAGAGAAGCTGGGATACCTCAAAGGCCAGTACAATTTGTTCTCCATTGTTTTCTTTTTTATTTATTTATTTTTTATTGTGCTTTAGATGAAAGTTTACAGAGCAAATTAGTTTCTCGTTAAACAATACACATATTATTTTGTCACATTGGTTATCAACCCCACGACATGTGAATCCTCTCCTCTTCTTGTCCTTGGGTTCCCCATTGCCAGCTTTCCTGTCCCCTCCTGCCTTCTCATTCTTGCCCCTGGGTTGGTGTGCCCATTTAGTCTCGTTTTGTTTTATGGACCTCTCTAATCTTTGGCTGAAGGGTGAACCTCAGGAGTGACTTCGGTACTGAGTTAAAAGGGTGTCCGGGGGCCATGTTCTCAGAGTTTCTCCAGTCTGTCAGACCAGTAAGTCTGCTCTTTTTGGTAATTTAGAATTTTGTTCTCCAGCTCTGTTTGGGACCCTCTATTCTGATCCCTGTCAGAGCAGTCAGTGATGGTAGCCTGGCACCATCTAGTTGTGGTGGACTCAGTCTGGTGGAGGCTGTGGTAGTTGTGGTCCATTAGTCCTTTGGATTAATCTTTGCTTGTATCTTTGGTTTTCTTCATTCTCCCTTGCTCCAGAAGAGGTAGGATCAGTGGAGTATCTTAGGTGGCTGCTCACAAGCTTTTAAGACCCCAGATGCTACTCATCAAAGTAAGATGTAGAACATTTTCTTTATAAACTGTGCTATGCCAATTGAGCTAGATGTCCCCCATCTCCATTTTTTTCGTATCTACTCCCTCAATAAATGACTGTCCTTAAAAAAAAAAAAAAAACTAGGTCAGGCATTTGGGTGTCTCTTGGTGGGTGAGGAGTGTCTCAGGCCAGTGGGGACAGAGGCTTCCTGGGCCAAGACTTGGTGTAGTGGGGTTCCTCTTGTCTCTTGACTCCTGTGTCTCCAGGTGTGGTAGGGGATTCTTTAGCCTGGAAGGGAAGGAGCTCTTTCTCTGGCCACTTGTTGTTGGATGGAGGTGACTCTCCTTGCTGGTGATATTATAAGTAGTGAATATGAGCCATTGAGGTGACAGGGACCTTAGAGATAATCAAGTCTAACCTCTAACCCACGAACTTTATCTCCTCTTACTTCCTCTGGCATGTTCCTCCACAAGCTAGACACAGAACTCTGCATTTTTTCAGAAAGTTGCTTCTCCTTTAGAAACTGCTGTCTTGAGCAAGTGTCCATGTGGTACACCCATGCTTCACTGGCCCTCACTTTCATCATGTTTGTTGTAGAACGTGCCAATAGAAGCATTCATCAACTGAAATGTGCCCTGAGGGAAGGCGATGTCACAGTTGGAGAAGATGCACTAGATCCTTCTTTTAGCACCAGTGCAGGAAATGAGGACACTGGGGCTGCCTGGCATGAACTACAACACAGCCATGCCGGTGAGTGTGAATGTCAGTCCCAGCTGGAACAACACAGTGAATTCTTTCACCTCCGTGGAGTAATGACTGCAGTCCATCTTCTACGCTACTGCTAGGATTTTATTTCTGAAACACAAATCAGATAATATAATTCCTTTGCTTATTTTTTTTTCCCTTTGCCATCCCAATTCCTATAGGCTAAGGTCCAAAATCTCTAGAATGACATAGCAATATTTTCCTAAGATGGCTCTGGCTTACCTCTTCAGCCTCATTTTTCTATTGTAACCATTGATCCCATGTAACCATGTTCTAGTCATACCAATTTCCTGGACTTACTTCTAGGCTTTTGCAGGTTCTGTGTCTTGTAACTGGAATGTTTCTCATCCTTTCCTGCTTGGTGAATTCCTGTTCATCTTTTATCATGAAAACAGGAACAATTGGCTCTTCCTCTTCTTGTAGGACTATGTATAGCTCTAGGTCTACGTACAAATGTGTTATATTGTTTTGTATCTATGAGAGTATCTTTCTTGCTCTGGGGATTCTTAGCTCTTAAGTGGGAGAGATTTTTCTCATATTTATATTTGTATCCCCAGTGAATAGCAAAGTTATTGATGTATAAAATATGTTTAAACAACATTTGTTGGATGGATGGAAGGAAGGGTGGGTGGTGATAAACCATGGATCCCAAGTAAGGTTAATAAACCAATTGCTTTTGCTCTGCAGTTAATCAACTCAAAGCTTTGTTGCACCAACAAGCAGCTAAGGAAAGTGAGATATCTCCATTAAGAAGACGAAAAACATCCCCTTTGGTGAGTAACAACTTTTGCAACCTGACAAAACCATTATTTTTCTAGCTGGGTTTTAACTTTACAGTGTCATTTTAATAGTACATGTTGTAGACAAAGTCTAAAAGAAGAAAAACAATTAAAAGAAATTCTCTTCCCTCTGATTATTTTGGATGAAGAAGAGAGACTTCCATGACAAAAGGAATCCTAATATTTTTTACTTATTGTTTACTTGAAAAATGGAGCAAGAGAACAGTTTGAAGAATTTACTTTGCAACTGTTAGCAAATATATAAAGGGAACAATACATGGAAAAGATCAATAATGTTTCAGTCATTCTTTTTTTTAGAGGTCAAGTCTATATCATTTTTGAAGTTACTTAATTATAGTTCTACCTCCTTTGGCATACTCTTTTGAGTGTCAAAACTGAAGTATGTAATGTTCTACATTTTAAAATACAGGATTATAAAATTGTGCGAGATGAAAAAGTTACACTCTGTTTGTTCTAAAATTGTTCTTTTATTGCTTTGACAGAATGTCTTATTCCTGACAGAGGCAATGTGATATGCTAAAGGCAGAAATAGGTGTGGAAGAAAGATCTCTGGTTTAGATTACTAAAATAATAGCGTAAGCCTTAGATTTATCTAGAGTCTATCATGTACTCTCTAGAAAAGATATTATGTCTATCTCACAGGGCTTTTGTAATAATAAGATAAGATTATATATTTAAAATTCTTCAGAAACCTCTGAACCATGACACAAATATAAAGTAGCATAGCAGCAGTAAACAGTTTGCATTTTCAATGTCACAGTAATTGGACAGAAAGTCTACATGTTGGGAACTATGGAAGCATGTTACTTTCCTTTACTCAAAGCTAAAATATCATAACCCCCGTATTACTCTTCATTCCAGCCTTTTATGCTTAATTCCTTCTTTAGAGCAATGAACTTCATGCTCTGTTTTAAAATTGGAATAAGTGTGTGTCAAGGTTATATCCTTTCACCATACTTATTCAATGTATACTGAGCAAATAGTCTGAGAAGCTGGACTATATGAAGAAGAACATGGCATCAGGATTGGAGAAAGACTCATTAACAGCCCGTGATATGCAGATGACACAACCTTGCTTGCCAAAAGTGAAGATGACTTGAGGCACTTACTGATGAAGATCAAAGATAACAGCCTTCAGTATGGATTACACCTCAACATAAAGAAAACAAAAATCCTCACACTGGGCCAACGTGATGGATTGACACAGTGGCTGCAAGCATAGCAACGTTTATAAGGATAGCACAGGACCAGGCAGTGTTTTGTTCTGTTGGACATAGGGTTTCTATGAGTCAGAACCAACTCAATGGCACCTAACAACAACAACAATGACTTATTTTTTTAATTGTGGATATCCAAAATGTTAGTAAGCCCTTTCAGGTATATATAAGTGATTTCATGGCACATTTTCCACAGAATATTGGCTTGAGTTTTTTTTTTTTTTTCTCATTAATTTTTCCCTATATACACATAGTAATAATTCATATTTGCCTATCTTGTGGATCCGACTCTATTACTATAAAATCTGTAGATGTTACTGCTTTCTTCTTACTGCAGGTAATTCATTTAATTAAAGTTATTTTGGTTTTTAAATGTCTTAAATATGCCAAAAAACAAAGCTCTCCTTAATTATTTGGCCCTGAGAGCTGGTACTTCACCGTTGTTTGTAATCTCTGCTAGACCGAGAAACAGGCTTTCCTCTGGGTTCTTCTAACTGGTTGATCCTTAGTCTCCCTTTTCCTGATCTTCTTTTTTTTTTTAGTCTGATGACATGGCATATGATTTTATAAGCCATTTCAAATTCATCTTAGAATAATGTCAGATATACAGTAAAAGTCATTTCTAGGAAGGTGCAGAGGTAGGTAGCATTAACACTTTTTCTGAAATCTCTTCAATGAGCTCTTCAGAGAAGTGTATCTCACAGTTTTGTGTGATGCTTATCTGCTTCATAGTTCTGTCTTGGAGGCTCTGTGCTCCAGAACAGAATAGTCTCAAATTGCTTTGAGTACTAGGGTCAAAATTCAAAAACCATGTTTTGCTAATGCTACTTTTGTAAGGAGCAGTGTTACCTCGTGGGCATATACTTGGCATCAAACACTTGTCTAAAGAGCTCTTCTTTAGAGAGCTGTTATGCAGTTTTAGCTAGTGATCCTCTTCCATGGCAGTGTCTTGGAGAGCGTTGTCCCCTTGTATCTCAGCATTCCTGAATGGGATGACACATTTGCGGAAGGCTCACTTAGGCAGCTCATCCTAAGACAGTTACACTACCCCAGCATTTTTACATTTGCCATGTGCTTTTTATAGCTACTTTTACTTTCTTTAAAAAATGTTATTAGCATCCCTAAATCTTGTCCATTTGTGGAATGTATATGATAGAGAAATAAATACCATTAACTACATGGTGATCTATTTTTCCTCGATGTATATATATATCACAGTGTCATGGATTGAATTGTGTCCCCCAGAAATATGTGTCAACTTGACTAGGCCATGATTCCCATTATTTTGTGGTTGTCCTCCGTTTTGTGATATGATATAATTATCTTCCATTTTGTGATGTGTTGCAAATCCAAACCTCTATATGTTAATGAGACAGGATCATTGTGGGGTGTATATTCAGTCCCAGCCTTACTCAAGTCACACCCTTACTTAAGTCACACCCTTAATCAAGTCATACCCTTGCTTGAGTCATACCTTTTATCTTACAAGAGATAAAAGGAGAGCAAAGTGAGGAGAAAGGAGAGGGACCTCACTACCACCAAGAAAGAAGAACCGAGAGTGGAGTGCGTCCTTTGGACATGGGATTCCTGTGTTGAGAACCTCCTAGACCCAGGGGAGGATGGATGACAAGACACATGGAGATCTCCAAGGAACACCAGGCCCACAGATGTTGAAAGGAGACAAGGACTTTCCTCCACAGCTGACAGAGAGATAAAGCCTTCCCCTAGAGCCAGCAACCTGAATTTAGACTTCTAGCTTCCTAAACTGTGAGAAAATAAATTTGTTTGTTAAAGCCAACTATTTATTGTATTTCTGTTATAGCAGCACTAGATTACTAAGGTATACAGCAATGCTAAATTGAGTATAAAGGGGTTATACTGATTCTTTGCTAAATCTAAACATATTTAATTTGGCCTTTTTACCTTAGAGTTCATCAGCAGATGAGGAAAATAATGTGCCTACTTTGCACAATCTTGTCCCTATCATTAATGACCAGTCTCAATACATTCATCATTTAGAGGCAGAAGTAAAGTTCTGCAAGGTAAGTTTCCCACTGAGAGTTTAAATCTACCTAAATAAAAGTTATATATTAATTATTCCTTGTATAAAATTTTGCTGTCATTAATTTTCATTTTTATACAATACATTGACAATTGCCATCCTTATATGATTGAAGGGAGTCCCTGGTGGTGCAAATGGTTATGCACTGGACTACTGATTGGAAGGTTGGTGGTTCAGATCCACTCAGAGGTGCCTCAGAAGTAAGGCCTGGCCATCTGCTTCCAAAAGGTCACAGCTTTGAAAACCCTATGCAGCGGTTCTACTCTGCCTGCATAGAGTCGCCATGAGTCAGAACTGACTGGACAGCAACTAACAACAACAACATGATTGAAAAGACTGATGTGTTACAGAAGCTTGGGAATGACGACTCTTGACCATGCCATTTCTGGTTGCTTAATGTCCCAGTAGCCCATAACTATGTCTAATTGTTTGATAATATACTCTCAGGTTTCAGAATTTTTCCTTTGCACCTCATTTACTTTAACACAGCAATACTTTGGAATACTAATACTAATCATTCTGCCACGCTTGTCAATCTACTGAAACTGTGGTGCAACAAGCAGGGATTCTAAGCTGGTAAACTAAATTTGTTCTATTGTCAGTATTAAGTGTCTTACCTTGAACTTGAATAGTAACAATGGCTCATAGAGGATACTGACAATAATGATCAAGAAGCCAAATGCATCACCTATGGCTTGTAATGCTGGCAGGTTGTACTTCCCGATTATCTGCTATTTAGTATGTCATTAATGCCATTGGAATCTTGCTGCCTTCCCAAAGCATTTAATATTTTTTCTTTCTCCCTCTCTCTCTCTCTCTCTCTTGCTTTCTCAGTACCAGTACATCATCAGACAGTACGATATTTTTATAGGAGTTACTGACATTTTTTACATTATATATTATATTTTTAACATTTTGGCTATTGTTACGATGCAAGGTCAGTACGTAGCATAAGGAGTCTTTAGACATTTCATTGTCTTGACTTTACAAGGACATTCCTCATCTTAGCTTGTCATTTTCTGTTTGTCCCTGGAGGACACAATCATTAATATGCAGTGTTCTTGGATCACCAGTATAACTGAAATAATATCCTAGGAATCATTCCATTAATCTTCCCCTAAGATATTGTGGGTAAAATTTACCATCAGAATAACAAATAGAATAAACTTATCATTTAGTTGGGAAGACAGTACTATTACCTTCGAACACTACAGCCAACAGTACAATAGCGAATATAATGTAGTCCTTCACTCCCTGGTGCAAACTATAATTATAGTAAAAGAATGTTTTTATGGGAGTGTAAGATCTTGAATCAGTTTTGAAGGAAAAGGATCATTTAGATTGGCAGAAGGGAGATGAGAGGTATAGGGAATAGCAACAATGAAAGGACATATTCAGGATGAATGTGTGGTTTGTTTGTGGGGCCGTAATGTATCCTATCTATCGTCCTACAATGGAGGACACCTCTTAGAAATAAGTAGAATATAGCTGAATTGGTAAAGTGGGAGATTATGGAAGCCTTGAAAGTCAGACGGTTTTAATTTGAGACTTTTAACAAGGATGTAATGTTTCAGAGGCCTAGAAATATTTTTTAATAATAGCTTTGATCTTTTTGAATAAAATAATAAGGAATTTGTATATATTACATAATAGCTTTTGATTACACTAGAAATGAAGATTAAGTATTTTACCATCAATCTCTATCAATATTTTTGACATATTTTTTCTGAGCGACATGCTGCGCAATAGCAATTCTAATTGTTACTTACCTGTAATTCCTCGTACTACACCCTGCAGGGCCAGTGAAGCACTCATTATCTCATAACTCTCCAAAGAACTGTTTTATTCACAACTTCCCTCTATCTGGCTACCAGTTCATAATCATTTTAACTTTTCATGCCTTTCTATCTCAGAGTGTCCCGCTTTTTAATCCACTGCTGGTTTTCAACAAGTTATTGACATTTGATCATGGATGATAATATATCTTATTTTTCAGCAGTCTAACTTGTTCTTAAAAATCTTTTAGGTAAATACTTCAATTAAAGCCTTTCTATAACCCGTGATCCCTTGGAGAAAAAAGTTGTCAGAAACCGTACACTGCAAGATATGGCCAACAGGAGACACTCTACTAACTTTATCTTGTTTGGTAGCTGATGTTTGAATTGCCTTGTTTGTCTAAATACAATTATTGCATTTCAGGAAATAGGGAGTATAAATCTCTCATGATTTATATTGAACATTTTAGTTGTCAACAAATAAAAGCACTGCTTAAAAGTGTTGAGCATATTTGGTGTTTGCTTCTGCTTTTTATAGGAGGAACTCTCTGGGATGAAAAATAGAATACAAGTAGTTGTGCTTGAAAATGACAGGCTCCAGCAAGAGCTGAAATCTCAAAGAGGAGAGGAGACAATGAAAGAACAAACACTTCTGGATACATGTGTGAGCATTTTTTAAAGCATAAATTTTATTTCCAGTTGCTTAATTGGGAAAAAAATTCCAAGCCTTGAATTTACCTCAAAAAAAAAAAGCCTACAAGGGCATATACAATAATGCTGGGAGAGGGAGATTTGAAGTCATAAGACAAGAGGGTACCTCGTTCCAATTATATTTGCTTTTCTTCTTCTTGCCCCAAACATTCCCTCCTGTCCTTTATTCTAGCTTCTGAACTGCTAGAAGTCTGGCAGAAGTACTATGCCAGGATTCACTTGAGGCCTCAAAAATTAAAATTCACATTGGTGGAATGAATCCTGAAATAAAATGATTTATTAGTGCCTAATACCTACTCCAGTTTCCTCTCTGAACCTACCATTTATGTTTTTTTCCATATGGAAAGAGCACGTTTGAAAACAGGAAGTGTGTTACATAGGAAGGACTTTGAGGCCTAGTGTTAAATCCAGAAGCTGCTCAAAACCTTAGCTTAGATTTCTGTTGTATTTCTCTAAATTTCTCTTGAGCGCTGAAATCCATTAAGTCTAATTAGCAGCATGATGCCGCAGAAAGAACATTGGCCTGAGGGTCAGAAGATCAAAATATTAGTCTTAGCACTGTCCCCAACAGGCTGATTTTTAGCGAGTAATTGTGGAGGGCTTTCCGTGGCTTGACCTCATGGCTCCTCAGGTTCTTTATTGGCAGTTGGAGAAGATTGACTTATATTAGGAGTTCTTAGACTTTAAATATGAATAACAATTATTTGGGGTACTTGTTGACGATGTAGATTTCTAGGCTTTATCACCTAAAATTCTGATTCAGCTGATTTGGGTTGGGTCCTAGGAAAACGAACTTTTAACAAGTTCCCTGACTAATTTTGAGGAACAATAGACTAGATGATCTCTATAATTCTGTGACACAAAATTCTTGTGGTGATATTTAAATAGCGCTTAAACTTATTATCTCCTTATGACTTGTCAGAGATACATTTGCCTTAAAAATGTTTTTCACTCTTTTGCTATAAAAACCAAACCCCAACCTGGTGCCATCGAGTCGATTCTGACTCACAGGACAGAGTAGAATTGCCCCATAGGGTTTTCAAGGATCAGCTGGTGGATTTGAACTGCTCGCATTTTGGTCAGCAGGCAGGCTCTTAACCACTGTGCCACCAGGGCTCCAGCTCTTTTGCTTTAGGAGGCAGTTACTCACAGCTTGTTCTGCTTTTTGAGACAAATTCAAATTTCCACGGGGGAAGCTTTAATACTTGTCTATTGCAGCTTTGCAATGGACTTTGGTGATTTTGACTTAGTCGTCATTTTGCCTTAATACTTTACCTAGGTTTCCTATAATTTTTATTTTTGAAGTGTTTTTTAACCTGATACATAATATTTCATTTGTAATTTTTGAGTTGTATGTGTGTTAGAATTTGCCATTTAGAAGAAGCGGATCATGTTAACTCTGAATAATAAAGTGGGCTGATAAGTATTTCAGTTTATTTTCTGCAATTACGTTTTGGTTTTTAATCAGCTATTTTCTCTTTACTATACAAGTTTATTTCTGAAGGTTTACATAATTATTAATATTAATGGTTAAAAATTCAATCTTAGTTGCTTATTATTTTTATGTCAGTTTGAAGATGATATAAACCAAAAACCCATTGCTGTCAAGTCGATTCCGACTCATAGCGACCATATAGGACAGAGTTGAACTGCCCCATAGGGTTTCCAAGGAGTGGCTGGTGGATTCAGACTGCGACCTTTTGGTTAGCAGCCTGAGCTCTCAGACGCCGCACCACCAGGGCTCTTGAACATGATACAGCCATATAGAAAATACTTGTGTTTTTAAAATGATATAGCTCATTTTAAAGTTTATTCTTTTGCTTTTCTTCCAATAATATAGTCACTTAGCAAGCATTGACTCAATTATTTATAGTCTTCAATGTTTATACAATGGCAAAGAAATGAAAGAAGGGGAAGTGAGATGAGAAAGGAAATTAGGCAGACAAGTGAATCAGAGGGCAAGAGAAGTGAGTAATGTAAAAGGGGAAGGAAATGATTGTAAAAGCACACATGCTTTTCCTTTGTATGAACAAAGGAAACTTCCCAAAGAAAACTATAACCATAATTACAGAAAAGACAAGGTTTTAAAAAGTTGTTTTTGTTTTTAGGGTTCACATGAACTACAATGCAATGAGAATATTTAAATGATTGTTGCAGATGTATCATGCCACCTTGATATCTTTTTAAAACTTTTTTAAATAAAATTTTTAAAAAGTTTGATGTACATATATACAGCCGAGGATATACCATTTCAAAAATTTCTACACATACAATTCTGGGACAGTGATCATATTCTTCAAGTTGTGCTACTGTTCTCGCTGTCCTTTTCCAAATTATTCAGCTAACATTATCTTAAACTCACTGACCCCTAAGCTTTCCATCCAACCTTTTGAATACATTTCAATTTGATCTCACATAAATAATTCTTTAAAAGATCACAATGCTCAAAGCAGATGTACTTATACCAATTAAGATAAGCTATTTTTTGGTTCAAAGAAGACATCAGGGGATAGTTTTGGTTTAAAGTTTAGAGATTATCTCAGGGCAATAGTTTCAGGGATTCATCCAGCCTGAATGGTTCCAGAAAGCCTGGATTCCATTGACGATTTTAAGTTCTGTTCCTTATTTTTACCTCTTTTGATCAGGATTCTTGTGTAGAACTTGATATCTGCTCAGATGTTAGTTTTCTGTGTCACTTCGTTGTTATGGAATTGTCACTTTTTAGTTTTTACTTGTATGGGTGAATTTAAGCATATCAGCAATGCATACATGGTGCTGTACTATGGAGTTTAACTTGAATAAAACTATCTTAACTATAAATAGATCAAGAGATACTATCTTTTACTTTTTTTAGATCCTTGTTAAAGAGTCAGTTATAATATTGATGTTAAATCTTGCCAAAACAATTAACTGATTTGAATATAAATTTTGAGTGTTTCATAATGCCTTCTTTTAAAAAAATAATTTAAATAGTTAATACTTAAAATTATTTAAATGTTAATAATAATAATAATAATTAACATTTACTGATGACAGTTATTGGTGGTTATAATGTGCCAGGCACTATATCAAGCACTTGATTTAGATTATCTCTTTTCGGTTTCACAATAGCCACATAAGGCTGATGTTATCTCTATTTCAGATGAGTAAATTAAGGTACACAGAGGTTAAGTAATCTAAGTAACTGATCTAATGTCACAAAGCTAGAAAATGGCAAAGCAAGGAAGGATTCAAATCCAGGAACATCTGATTCCTCAAATCCATCCTTCTAGCCTTTAATACTCTCTGTCTGCATAAATTAGGAATAGCTTGTCAATACTGAATCAAACCATCTTTGTTTGCCAGGAAATAAAAGTGTCCCACCAGCAGAGGAGAGAAAAAATTCTCTTTTTTGTTGCCTCTCAGTTTAGCCTTGGACTTGGATAGGCACCTACATGACTTTTAGCTTTTAGCCTAGTTTATGACCTAGAAGTTGAAGAAGCAAGTAGATTATTTTTAAAAATATAAAACTATTAGAAGTATGTTATATTTCATTTCTGTCTTCATTTTTTTTATCATTTTTCCTTCTTATAAAATTTCTCTTCATGGAGGACTTTTCTCAAGAGTTTAAAAAGTTGTTATAAAATATTAATTATTAGAAATTTTGGCATGTGTACTCATTCAAGGAACTAAGAATTTTTTTCTACATAGAAAATTTCTTTTTTTTTTTTTATTGTGCTTTAGGTGAAAGTTTACAGCTTAAGTTAGTTTCTCATACAAACATTTATGCACACATTGTTATGTGACCCTAGTTGCTATCCCTACAATGTGACCACACATTCCTCCTTTCTGCCCCAGATTTCCCGTGTCCATTCAGCTAGCTCCTATCCCTTTCTGCTTTCTCATCTTGCCTCTGGACAGGAGCTGCCCATTTAGTCTTGTGTATCTACTTGAACTAAGAAGCACACACTTCACGAGTTATCATTTTATGTCTTATATTCCAGCCTATTCTTTATCTGAATAGTTGGTATCAGGAATGGTTTTAGTTCTAGGTAACAGAGAGTCCAGGGGCCATGTCTTCTGGGGTCCCTCCAGTCTCACTCAGACCATTATGTCTGGTCTTTTTACTAGAATTTGAGTTCTGTACCCCACTTTTCTGCTGCACCATCAGGGACTCTCTGTTGTGTTCCCTGTCAGGGCAGTCATTGGTGGTAGCCGGGCACCATCTAGTTCTTCTGGTCCAAGGCTGATGGATCTACACAGAAAATTTCTGAATCATTTCTTCTGTGTCTATTCTCATTCCCCTCCTCTACCAACCCTCCCCTCAATTAAAAAAATCAAAGGTTTTCAGTGATCTTCAGGGGCATAAGTATAATTAGATTTTTTTATCCTGGTCAAATACCAGTCATGTTTTTTAAAACTGTCTGTGAAAGAACAAAAATGTTAGTTAGACTATCCCTTTTTTATAAAGACTATCAAAAATTTTATATCATGTCAACAATCTGTGGTCTATATGCTTTCTCTAATTTCACCATAGGAAATTAGTATCCTGCTCTCTCATTGTTCTCAAAGACAAATTTGAATGCAATTACATCTTGGAAGATTTGCCCTTGCCTATAGAATCAAGTACAAGCTCATTAGCATGGCATGCTACACTCTCAAGACCCTTATCTGAAGCTTCTGCTTCATCTTCTGACACTCATTGCCCTGTACTTTCGCCTCTGGTAATGTTGAATTGCCTAAGGGTCCCCTGAAGACACCATGTTATTTCACACCTGTGACTTTGCTCATGAGGTTCCCTCTTCCTGGAATGCCCTTCCCATGTAGCTAACTCTTATTCATCCCTCAAGATACCACACAAGAGTCAAACTTCTCCAGAAAACTATCCTTGAATCTCCAGTTGCTCTTAGTGTCCTTCCTGTGTTCTGGCATAGTCCTTCATGCACACCTCTGGCTGAGCACTTAGACATTACTAAATTAAAATCATCTGTTTAGGTGTTTGTCTCCCTCCTTAGACCGTAAGCTTTTCAGAGCTATGATTGGTCCTGCTCATTTTTGCCTCTCAAACTCAGCACAGTGTCAGAACATAGTAGGTGATACACAAATGTTTGCACTAAACTGAACTTCCAGAAGAATATAGAATAGAATCTCATAACCTACCTCATAGGGTTGTTGAAATGATTAAATGAGTTAACATATGTAAAGCACATAAAACAGTGCCTGACATAGTAAATACTATATGTGTTGACAATTATTGTTGTTATTATTATTCATGCCTCTCTGAAATGTGGGAAAATGAAAGACAGATCAGGAGACGGCTTTCAAGAGTCTGTCTTCAGAAGAGTAAGGAATAATTCTGCTTGTTGAATACACTGATGGCAGCCTTCTTTACTCATTTACATTATTTCATGTACCTGTAGGCATTTGAGTTGTAACATCTTTTGTAGAATATGACCCTAATAGCCCACAAATACAAAATAATTCTTGAGTTGTGGTTTAGAAGCATATGCTTTTCTTTTCCTTTCCTCATAGATAAAAATCAACGTTCCATTTGTAAAGCTTGTGTGTTTATCTTAAGTTGAACGGCAATTGCAATTAGTGGCACATTTTATTTTAGGGAAACATGCAGAATTCTTCGATTACAACAGGTGAAGATTCTGGGGTGGATGAAGCTGCCAAGAGACCATTGTCCCATGGCAACACAGATCTGATCAAAGCTGCATCTGCTGCTGAGGCTGAAAAATGGAAGCTGGAACTGGTGAGTATTTCGGTGCTTTTCTCATATGCTTCTGCTTTTGGTTCACCACTTCTGTGTTATGTATTTAAGGCTTTGATTGATGATCTAGATAGAGATACGAGTAGTTTGTGAAAAATTATATTTTCATCCTCAAATTTAAGCATTGTCTCAAAACTACTATTTAATAAAATGAGAAGAAATCATTATATTTTGAAAAATAAGGCAGAATAATAATTTATATAAAAAGCAAAACTGTCAAGTTTGTAAGTTGTCCTAGCGATCTTAATTTCTGTATATGTAGGAAAACTAAACGGGAAGTTAGGCTATCAGCAGGGTTTTTAATCAGAGGAAGGGGGGCTGTTTTTAAGATTCAAGTATTTCCTAACAGCCTCGTGACAGTGTGCTTGCCAGATACTCTTAACTCAGTGTTTGTGTTGAGGGCTTAACTATTTTTAAGGATATAAATTTAGGAAAGAACCAAACCCTCTTCTCAGAGACAGTAAAATACAACACTATAGGTGAGGGGAGAAATGAATTTAAATTATAAATGCAGACATCACTAAAGTGAATATTTTGGCTCACTAAAATGTTACCTGTAAAAAACAAAACAAAAACAAAAAACAACTTGCCATTGAGTCCATTCTGACTCATAGTGACCCTACAGGACAGACCAGAACTGCACCACAGGGTTTCCAAGGCTATGTTCTTTACAGAAGCAGACTGCCACATCTTTCTCCTGAGTAGCAACTGGTGGGTTCCAGCAGCTGACCCTTAGGTTGGCATCCCAATGCTTAACCACTTCGCCACCAGGGTTCCTTTCTTTAAAGATTAACCCATTGTCATTGAGTCAATTCTGACTCATAGAAACCCTATAGGACAAAGTAGAACTTCCCCCATAGGGTTTCCAAGACTATAAATCTTTACTGAAGCAGACTGCCAAATCTTGCTCCCATAGAGCAGTTGGTGGGTTCAAACCACTGACCTTTTGGTTAACCATGGAGTGCTTAACCATTATGCAACCAGGACTCCTTAGAATAAATAAAGTTTTATTAATTTTCTTATGTAATCAGGTCACTTGTTAGGATTCTATTCCTCTGTCCTCATTAGATTTTTTTGTTGTTCACATGTGAAACATTAAATGTGTGAGAGATTCATGTTATCCTAAATATCTAGCAGAGAGATTTTTCATTAAAAAAACAACTAAACTAAACTAAAACTTTAGGTGTCTGGTCTCATTTATGTTAATAATTTACTAACAAGTCTGTTATTCCTTCTGACTTTGGTCTCTTCATTGTTATTCAATTATGCCACTTCTATTCAATATCTACTATATGCCAGCACTATCTTGGGAGATACCAACACAAGGAAAGTGCATTTTCTCTCCCCTATGAACTCACAAGCATGTAGGGGAGAAAGACTCACAAATAAATGACAGCACAGTGAAAAGTGCTAATATAGGTATTGACAAGGAGTCCTGGGCACACTTAGGAAGGAGAGCTTAGGAAGGGATGAGGGGAGAAGAAAAAAGGGGCTTAGTCAAGGAGGCGAAATTTCTTGGTCTTAATTCTGTTTTAAGACCAAATGATACTTTTAAATCCTTTGATCTGTATAACAGATCTTTTTTTTTTTTTTTTTCCTCCTCTTGCGAACTGGAAGTCTTCCTTGCATTAAATTTGGTATGTCAGAATGATCAGCAATGATGAAAGAGTAAGAATGACACTGTAAATGGAATGCTTCCAGGGGAATTCAGAATGAATCATAGTTTAGGCTCTTATTATCATTTACAGGTGTTCTTACAGTTTCCTAAAGGCTCTCTCTGCCTCCTCTCTCTCTTCACTATCTCAAACCCTAAACCAAGCTTTATTTTACTTTGTAGGAAAGAGTACCTTTCTTTAAAAAAGCTAAAAGACTAAATTCTATCTTTTTTTTTTCCAGCTGAATAATCTGTGGTCCAAAACTCAAACCAAACTCTTTGCCGTTGAGTCTCTTCCAACTCATAGCAACCCTGTAGGGGTCTCCAAATCACTGCCCCTTCATTCCCTTAAAGCTAATCACTATCCTGACTTTTATGAGAATTGCCAAAGCATGCATCCCTAAGCACTGTACTTGAGTTCTGCCTGTTTTTTATTTTGTTTTGTTTTAAATTATATAAATGGAATCATATACTATGTATTCTTTTTTGTCTGCCTTCTTTTGTTCAGCATTATATTTTTGAGATTCGTTCACGTTGTTGCACATGATAAAATTTTGTTCATTTTCTTTGGTGGGTCTATTGTATGAATATGCCACAGTTATTTATCTATTCTACTATTCTTTCCAATTTGGGACTATTGAATATCACATCTGTGAACATTCTTTATATGTCTGTTGGTGTGCATCGCACACATTCATGTTGGATGTGTACCTCACAGTGGAATTTTTGGTCTTAGAGTATGTTTATGTTCAACTTCAGTAGATAATGGCAAACTTCTCCAAAGTCGTTTTATGAGTTTACACTCCTGCCAGCAGCATATGAGTGACACCATTGTTCCACATTCTTGCCAACACATGGTATTGTCAGTTTTTCTTGTGGGCTTGTAGTGCTATCTCATTGTGGTTTTTACTTTGCATTTCCCTGATTACTAGTGTGGGTGATACCTTCTCGTATATATTTATTGGTCATTTGATATCCTCTTTTGTGAAGTGCCTCTTCAAATTTCCTATGCATTATTTTTATTGAATTATCTGCCTTACTGATTTGTGAGGGTTCTTTATGTGTTCTGGATACACGCCCTTTGTTGGTTATATGTATTATAAATATATTTTCCCATTCTATGTCTTGCCTTAAGACTCTCCTGATAGTTTTACCTCCCTTCCTTTCTTCCTACCCTTTCTCCCTATCTCTTTTTTTTATGACTTGACAGCAAGTAATAACAACATACCTCACTAGAGCAATTATATGTAATTGAAATTATTCATCTGCCTTTTTATTCCTTCCTAAAATATAAGCTCCTTGAAGTTAGCGGCAACTACATCTTAGATACCCAATAAATATTTGTTAAATGAAAGAATAATTGGATATCAGCAGAGGCTTGTAGATAGCGTATTGGTTTGGCCTATGATTATGTGACTCATAACCTTATCTTTTATCATTCATCCAGCACGTATTTATTGTATGTCAAACATACAATAGGCACAATGGTGGATTCCAATATATATGTAAAATTTGATTCTTGCCCTTGTGGACCTTACAGGTTGTAATTGGATTTTTCCTTTTAAGAGTAAAATCCAATCAATGCAATTTTGAAAAACAAAGTTTTTTTTTTTCAATAATCATCATTTTTGCGTCTTTGCAGGCATTCACCTAAGAAAAATTGAAAATTTAGGGTAGACTAGGAAAAGTGTCTCCTGAGAGGACACATTTTTTTTCCCTCTTCTTGGGTAAAAAGGAAACAAAACTACTGAGTTTAATGTTAATAATTAAAATTTGTTTATAAAACACAGGACATAGGGAAATATATCTATAATATTTTTTCTTTTCTAAAGGAACAGCTAAAATTTACTTACAAGGACAAGAGTGAAATCCTGGAATCTCAGCTGAAGTTTCTGAGGTAAAGTAAAATCATCCATTTAATGTCATAGCAAAAGCATAATGATCTTAAGAGAGGTTATACTTAAATGCTTGCTGAAATGGCAGTTTTAGTCAATATTAGAACTATTCGATGATATTTTATATTATATGCAATATAAAATTTTCTCAGATAATTAAAAGTGTAAAGGGGCATAAAATTGTGACGTCCTTTTCCAAATTCCATTTCAAAGAACCATGAGCTAAACTGTAAGTTTTATCCCTTCTTCAATTTTAAAATATTTGTGTTTTCTCATAAAAATAAGGATCACTAGCTGCTCTTGTAGAAATTATGATTTTAAAGTAAATTAAGTAGTGAAAATAGAACACTCCAGTTTTCCTATTACAACCAAGTATTCTTTTCTATGTAATTATTCATTTAATTTTAAAATTGCAACAATAATATAATAGCTTGAGTGTATACATGATGAATTTTCATGTATTTTTAATATGTTTTCAAAATCCCAGTAAGACCTATAGATTGTAGATTAATCATTAGTGATTTATCATGCATAATGAGTAGATAACACACCAGATATTAATTAATTTTTTTTTCTTTTTTTTTTTAATTGTACTTCAGGTGAAGGCTTACAGAACAAACAGTTTCTCATGAAACAGTAGTACACATGTTGTTTTATGACATTGGTTAACAACCCCACAACATATCAACCCTCTAACTTCTCAACCTTTTTTT